TGCAAAGTAGAAACACAGTTCAAATCACTTGAGTGGAAACGGCATCCCCGACGCACGTTTCGACCACTGCACCGGGTGACCCATCCGAATAGAATGTCATGTCTTATAGCTGTATCTAGGCTGAAACTTGCGCCAGATACAGCTCTGATCACCGAGACGGTACAAAGTAGAAACACAGTTCAAATCACATGAGTGGAAACGCCATCCCCGACGCACGTTTCGACCACTGCACCGTCTTCACCCGAATAGAACGCCCGGTCTTATATATGCGCCAGATACGCTATAATGACCCCACGTTATATTCGGGTGAAGACCGTAGGGGTAATCTCGTCACCCACCCCTGCTGATCTCGGAAAGGAAAGTAGGGCAAACACCCCCCCTCTCTACATCTTCTCTACCGTGGATGTTCTCCATTTGTCCCCCCTTCCAAGTTTCGTCTGCAGCTGTGTCCTCGTCGTGGTGGGCACGCGAGTACTGCCCTTCAAACTAGGAAAATATGGGTCTCGCTCCACTAGTCACGAAATGTGCCAAATGAGAATGGATATTCTGCTAGAACATGGGAAAATACACTACCATCTTTTTCGACTTTTGTGCCTCTGGTGAGTAGTGGACCGGGGGGCCTATGTTGCGAATTTAATCAAGTAGCTGTCATGGTTAATGTTATAAAGGGTAATATGTTTATGAATCATTTTGAGCTAAACATGATCTTTTGAGCTATAAAAGATTCTTAACTAAAAATTGGAGTGAAGGAGGGCGTCCTTGCCCTCCTTCTTATCAATCCATAGCAGTTCTGTTTGAGACGGCTGCAATAGATTGATGCAGTTTTTCACAGCCCCTCGGTTTGTCACAGCCCCTCGGTTGTTGCCCTGTTCTCCCTCTCTGCCTACGGTTTACTGGGCAGTTCTGTTTAAGACGGCTGCAATAGATTGATAATGGTGATGGCATAGATGATGAATTCCACAAACACTGGTCCTGAGATTGCTAACCTCACACTCTATTGGGATGAGGCGCAGTACGTGGACAATCTGCAGTGTGTGGATCCCTTTGCAGCTCGCGGATAAGTCTATTATGTTCTTACCTTTGGATCTCTCCGATTGAGTGTGTTTGATAAGACTGTTGCATGGGATTTTCCTGTTATACGATATCCTAGCGCAATCTCGAACATTCCATCTCATCAGCTTTGTGATCACTGCCGGTGTTTGATTAGATTTGTGACAATTGGCATGATTGCAAAACTGCGGCAGCCATGCTTGTCCGCCGTTTGCTTTCCCGTGGCCATGCTCCATCGACATCAGCCCGTGGATGGACTTGTTACAT